CACTCTGTCCTGTTTGTGCCTCCACACACGCATCCTGTTTGTTTCCTAATTATTGAACTGCCACAGTCATGTTTGTAATTGTAGCCTGCCTTTGGCTATAAACCAGAACAAATGTGTTTCTTGCTAAATGCACTTCAACAGTAAGCGGGGTGGAGCTGATTTACTACTGAACCGAGTTGTCATGCAACTGTCAGCTTTGAGACTCTAGGCTTTTCGGCTTTTCTTACAATGTTTTTCAAGTCTAATCTAAAGAAAACATCCTAAACACACCTGTAAGGGTTTCTATTGTCACACTAATCCATGGTAGTAGACTTCATTTACTTGGAATTCAAGAATTATCAAGAATTCAATGCATTTTCTCAAGGCTTTTTTTTCACATCAGCAGCAGTTTTATTTGTTCGGTTTCATTTATTTTTTATTTATATATGTATTCTGAAGGCTTTTACAGAGGGAAATGTATTATATATTGTTGTATAAAACCAATGTTTAACACCTGGGGGGTATTCCCAGAAAGCTGGGTTAACTTACCATCTGCTAAACCCTGAACTCTCGGTTGATTTACCCAAAACCTGCTTACCGCGAGTATGTTGGTTCCAAAACAGGTGACAAGAGTTAGTTAAATCAACCTCATGAAGATGACCGCGGGTTTATGCGCGTGCACGGCACACACCTGAAGGCATTTTCAGTAGATCGCCGAATTCACGAGTCACCATCAAAAAACACGGTGAGAAAAAAAGGGCAACGCACTTTACAGAGGCAGAGCTGGAGGTTTTAAACACAGAGATTACACATAGAATAAGAAATAGATAAGAAAAGAAAAAATAGATAATAAGAAAGTTTGTTAGTTCATTAAATTACACATGCCACCCTCCATTTTATTCATTGTAATAAACAAATAAACTTCTCTTTAACATCCTTTTGAGTATGTTGTGTAACCATTCATGCATTTATTTTTATTGCCATTAATTTCTTAGGGCCACAATATGTGTGTTGACTAATAAGGCTTATAGAAATTGTAATCTTTCTGGAGCTAGAACTCTGTCCAAAGTCATTAAACACAGAAACATTATCATAAAAGGTAATATTTAATTACTGGAGCTCTGTATTTAACACTCTAGAACAGTGGTTCTCAAACTGTGGTACCTGTACCACTAGTGGTACGCAGCCTTCCTTCTAGTGGTACGCGGAGGAATTAAATATGTCATGTACATGCCATACACATTTCAAAATTGATCAAAAATGATGTATATAATATGTCAAATATAACATATAGCCTATATTTCTAATGTAATCTGCCATGTTTTTTAACTGCAGAGTTGTAGCTGCTTTACTGGGCCTACTACGCTATTGTATTTCAATACTGCTCATTTTGGTGGTACTTGGAGAGACAATTTTTTTCTGAGGTGGTACTTGATGAAAAACGTTTGAGAACCACTGCTCTAGAATGTTCTTTCTGTCATGCAGCAAATAGAAAGAGGCCTGTCTAACTGCTGTGGTCCACCAGTTAGAGGAGATGCTGTGTCCTATAATAAAGGCTCATCAGTGGTTGAGTTTTTGACTTAAACCACACAATATGTCACTGTTGTAAGTGATTGTTGTTAGGTAGCTTTAGGTTCTTTTTATGCTTTTTATTTTGCATGCAGACGAAGTTCCTTCTGCTTCAACTAACAAGCAGTGTAAGAATTTGTCTGCACTTTTCCATATTTGAATATTACTCTTGGATCACAAAATCTTATATATATATATATATATATATATATATATATATATATATATATAATTTTAATTCTAAAGTAGCTGTATAAGGTCCATCTTCAAGTATAAATAAAGTCACATGAGCATCACCTTTAAGGTGAGAAATGTATATAAAAAGTATGTTACACGTTAAAGGTGCGTGTATAAAGCAGTGTAAAAAAATCATTCATTTTATTTCAGGAAATTAAGAAATTAACAGACCAAAATATTTGATTAAACATAGTTTTTTGACAAATTATATTTCTAAGCACTCTTCCATCTCTTTTGTCTGTCTGGGTCACTAAGATTTCCTCTGGGTCAGGCTGCAGGTAGGGTGTCATCGTATAAGGCAGAAAAGGGTATCTTTTGTCCTCCAGCAAGTAACAATGTAGTGCCCACTAATGATTCTATTTTATAATACAAATATAATAAAATAAACATTGTGTAAAGCAACATTTGCTTTATAGTTTTTTTTTTTTCTTTACTATATTTGTGTTATACACTTGAATCATTACATCCTGAAAATCAGCCATTTAGCCTCAACATATAGTGATGAGGTGGGGTCATCACATATGTGCTGGTAGGATGAAGCAGTAATGAGTTTAATAGTTGAAACACCAAAAGATTAAGGATAGAAAATTAAGTTGTACCTGCACATTTATACTATGGACAGATTTCATATTATCAGTGTCCTTTAGTGACTGATGGAGCTTTAAAATTGGCTGCAAATGCACACAAGCATTTGGAAACCCTGAAAAAAATATTATATTAAAAATGTAGGTGTATGTGCATGAATGTATACATATAAACAGCGTCCTACATCTTAAATTATAGGTAGGCCTATATTTTCCTACTAGATTCGAACTGGCTCCGCTGTGAGCTCCGTTGTTCATTAACGACGCACTGTCCACTACACTATTGCCGTGCTCTGAATCAGCTGTGTAATGATACGCAGTGATTTATGATCAAGGAACTGTACAAAAGTGTAAAAAACAGTTCAGTGCCAGGCATACTGTACAGGTGGTCATACTGCCACATTGTACAGTTGCCTAAAATGCCCTGACGCGAATACAAAGAGCTGCACTGAATGTTTTTTATGGTAAGCACAGACCCGCGGTTTGTCACATTTGATTTAAAAAAGGTTTGTTAAATACATTAACATTATAAATTTGGTTATGAAAAAAAACTATGCACTTATAACCCTCTCACAATGAAAAAACTTGTATCTGTGCGTCCACATCCATAAATATTCTCATCAAAAGAGCACGCAATGCTCAGTAAACTCTCTGAAACAGACAAACTCTGGAACATAGCAACTTACTCTCTGAAGATAACCTGCTCCGGAGCAGGTTATCTTCAGAGAGTAAGTTGCTATGGCTACTTAACATACCCAGAAGTTACCTCTGATTTTGGAACCAAAGCTGAGGTTATCTACCTACTTACTCTCAAACTTACCCGGGTATGTCACATAACCTGCTTTCTGGAACACCCCCCTGTACACACATGCGTGTATTTCTTTCCTGACCGGCCACTTTATTAGGTACACCTGTCCAATTGCTTGTTAACACAAATTTCTAATCAGCAAATTACACGTCAGCAACTTTATGCATATAGACATGATCAAGACGATCTGCTGCAGTTCAAACCGAGCATCAGAATAAGGAAGAAAGGTGATTTAAGTGACTTTGAGTATGGCATGGTTGTTGGTGCCAGACAGGCTCTGAGTATTTCAAAAACTGCTGATCTACTGGGATTTTCATGCACTGCCATCTCTAGGGTTTACAGAGAATGGTCTGAAAAATGGAAAATATCCAGTGAGTGGCAATTCTGTGTGTGCAAGTGCCTTGTTGATGTCAAAGGAGAATGGCCAGACTGATTCGAGCTGATAGAAAAGCAACAGTAACTCAAATAACCACTCGTTACAACCAAGGTCTGCAGAACAGCATCTCTGAACAACACACAACATGTCCAACCTTGAGGTGGATGGGCTACAGCAGCAGAAGACCACACCAGGTGCCTCTCCTGTCAGCTAAAAACAGGAAACAGACTACAATTTACACAGGCTCACCAAAATTAGACAACAGAAGGTTGGAAAAACATTGCCTGGTCTGATGAGTCTCAATGTCTGATGCGACATTCGAATGGTAGGGTCAGAATTTGGGGTCAACACGAAAGCATGGATCCCTCATGTCTTGTATCCATGGTTCAGGCTGGTGGTGGTGTAATGGTGTGGGGGATATTTTCTGGGCACACTTTGGGCCATTAGTACCAATTGAGCATCATATATATATATATATATATATATATATATATATATATATATATATATATATATATATTGTATATACTGTATATATATATATTATATATCATGTCAAATATATAATGTATATATTATATATTATATATCATGTCAAAATATTATATATATTTTTTTATAAATAAATGGAGTTAAATTTTGGAGAAACATATGCATATTGTAAAGACAATATGAAATGTATTGACATTTTATAAAGAATATTCTCTTTTTTTATGTGTTTTTCTTTTAATTTCTTTTATTTTTGTTTATTCAGAACAATAAAAATTTTATTCAACAACTGAAGACATGAGGTGTGTTGTGTTATTTTCTGATTGGCTAAAACACAGAAAGGTCTTGCAATTGTCCTTTAAAGGGCCATTTAATGTTGATTTGAAACACATTTAATGTTTATTTACTACAGCATCGTAATAAGAGTAAAAAAAAGTTATTTATTAATTTACTTATTAATAATTTCTTTGTTTTAAATTTTTTTTGTGTGTCTCTTTCATTTATACCACCATTATTCATAGCAAACTAGTAATAAACACATCGTAAATTACCTAATATATTTCCTATTATAAAAACAAATATATACTGTAAATTGAAATGTGAAAAGGACCAAAAAATGTGGTAAGAAATGTTTAAAGATGCATCTTAGAAGCAAATTGGAAGCTTAATTTGCTATCTGTATGGTGTCGTCAATATCCTCTTGTGTGTCACGTGATCAATAGAAATGAATATTGCATTTTTTTTTTTTTTTTTTTTAAATATGCTTTATTTAGATTTTTTTTTAATAAGATTTGGGGTCAAGAATGTTCAGCATGATCTCAGACTCCTGTACTCCCCATGATAC